AGATGTCTCTAAAGCTTATGAGATGTTTATGAGGTTTAGAGAGACTTACTATAATACTATCCCAGATCCTATGATTAGTAGGGCTGAGTTTATGAAGAAATATCCACTAATTGTAATAGACTGTTCTAGACAGAACGAAACAGTGAAGGAAGGAATTGTTGATATTAAATTAGAGATTGAAACTGCAGAAAATGTGCCAGCAAATACATCTGCATATTGTTTGATAATACACGATAAAGTGTTTGAGTACAATCCTTTGTCAAATGAGATAAATAAAATGTAAATAAAAGATGAAAAACATTCAACAAGAATTGGTTGACTCTGCAAATCAAATACGAGAGAAATATAGAGCTTTAAAACGTGGCAAGTTTCTAGAGGCTGAAGAGAGGTTTCAAACATTCCAACCTTTAATAGAGCCATTACAAGAATTAAAAAAAATCGCCAAAACAGAGAGGCCTCGAATGGAGATTCTCCCAATGACTCCATCTAGAATACCAATAATACCAAGATTACAACCATTACAACAATCTACTCCACAGAAATTAGATTTTGGTCTTTTAGCATCAGACTATTTAGGAAATTACCTCAGTAAAAGTAGTATGACAGACACTACATATGGTATTAGACGAGAAGCAAATAAATTTTTTATTGGAAATAAGGAAGTTGACATTGCCAATGATGATGTTACAATTGCAAATAAAACCTACAAGGGGACAAAAGGTTTGTGGCAATTGTTAACTTTAAAAGAACCTGAGGATTATACTCCGGCTGATTTGCAAAAATATAAAGAAATTTTGGAAGCTACAAATGGACATTTAAAGAGTTACAAAGATGGTGCACCAATTTCAAGTAATAGACATACTAAATATCTTAATATAATTAAACCTCTTTTTAAATCTGTTGGTGAAGGTTTGAGACAAGTGACTGGTAATAAAATAGACTATATTTATTGGGATGATCCTAATGAGCTTGTAGATAGGTTAAGACTTCTTTGGCTAAGTCGCCAAGCCGGTAACTCAGGAGTGGATAATGAAATAGATTCCATTATTGAGGAATTGAGAGAAAGTGGAATTATTTATTAAATAAAAATATGTTTATAGATAAATTTTACCGTTTATATAATCCATATAATAAGCCTGTAGAACCCAGGGCTAGCAGTGAACCTACTTTAAATTTACAAGACGATAGTTGGAATGGTTTAAACCGTAAAATTGGTAATGTTAAAGATGGGGAGTTTGTAGATGATGTATCAACTTTGGGACAGACATTAACTAGAAAAGGTGATGTCTTCTTACAAGGTAAAACTAAATATGAGTTTTTAGAATCTAAGAATAAAAATTGGAATGCTAAAAAACAGAAAATTACTAATGTGGAAAAGGGTGAAAGTTTAGATGATGTGCCCACTTTACAACAGACTTTAATACGAACAGATGGTAAATTTGTACAAAACAATAATAATTATGAATTTTTAGAATCAGAGAATGGTGTTTGGAATGCTAAGAAACGGAAAATTACTAATGTGGAAAAGGGTGAAAGTTTAAATGATGTGCCCACTTTACAACAGACTTTAATACGAAAAGAAGATGGTAAATTTGTACAAGACGATAATAATTATGAATTTTTAGAATCTGAGAATGGTGTTTGGAATGCTAAGAAACAGAAACTTAGCAATTTGATGGAAGGTACAGATAGTAAAGATGCTGTGAATGTTTCACAAGTTCCAAAAATGGAAGCAGGCTATTGGGATTTTAATAATAAAAGGTTAGTACGTGTAAAACCCGCCGTTGATGACACTGACTGTGTTACAAAAGAACAGACTATAACTTTTGATAAAAAAGAAAAATGTTGGGATGCCAAAAAACAATTTATAAGGAATCTGCCAAAGGGGGAATATTTAGATGATATTTGTTTAATGTCACAAGCTATGTATTATGATGGATCAAAATTTGTATATGCAGGAAGAAAATTTAATTTGATGGAATACAATCCTGATTTATTAGTTGCCGACCCTACATCTTTGAGTGGATTTAAGTATATAGATAATAGACCTTATATACCAGAAAACTATGTATTTAAAAGAATGGAAGATAATCTATTGATTGGGGCTAATGGTAATATATTTACAGTACAAGGAAAGAGTGATGTTATAAAAAATGAATGAAATTGCATACGAACTTCATAAGCCTGCAAGAAAGAATTTCATTAGAAGATCTTTTAAAGTATTAGGTATAAACGAAACCTTACAAATAGATTTAATTGATATGCAAAACTATGCTAGAGAAAATTCTGGCAATAAATATATTTTAACTTTAATAGATACATTTTCTAAAAAAGCTTATGCTGCTCCACTAAAGAATAAGACAGGGTTAGTGGTTACAGAAGCCATTAAAACCATTCTACCAAAGGGGGTTAAAAACATTCAATCTGACAATGGAAAAGAATTTTTTAATCAATATTTTAACAAACTAATGAAAAAATTAAATATTAATCACTATCACACATTTTCTACAACTAAGGCTGCAATTGTAGAGAGGTTTCAGAGAACTTTAAAGAATTGGTTATATAGGGAATTTAGTGCTCAGGGGAGTTATAAATGGTTGGATTTACTTCCAAAGTTAATTCGAAAATATAATAATAAAGTGCATAGATCTATAGGAATGAAGCCTAACCAAGTGAATGTTAAAAATAGTAAATATGTGCATGAGAGGTTGACTTCTAAAGTAGAGCAAGTTAAAAAGCCAAGATATAAGGTAGGTGATAGCGTAAGGATTTCCAAGTATAAACATGTTTTTAGTAAAGGTTATACTCCAAATTGGACAGGGGAACTATTTACAATAGCAGAAGTTAAGAATACAAAGCCTGTGACTTATATCTTGAAAGATGAAAATGGCAATATAATCAGGGGAGGCTTCTATACAGAGGAGTTGTTAAAGACCAAGTATAAGGACATGTATTTGGTAGAGAAGGTAATTAGGAAAAAGGGTGATTTATTGTATGTCAAATGGCTTGGATTCCCAAGTAGCCAGAACTCATGGATTTCCACTAAGGATGTCCAAGGGAGCGTGTCATGAGCCAGGAGCATGCCCGAGTTCGCACGCAAACCTCACATGATTTTGAGAATATACTTGTGAATGAATGTGGATTTAAAATTTTAATGGAGTTTGAACATTTGTATGGGTTTGTATTGGTCGAGATCCGGGTCTTTAAAAAAGTGGCCAAAAAAATGAGCCATATTCCAGACGTGTTTTTCAGTATTAAAAAAGTAGAAAATTTATATAGGGGTGTATAGGTCGAGAGCTGGGTCTTTAAAAAAGTGGCCAAAAAAATGAGCCACTCATTTTTCTCATTTTTCCCCTATAAAAAGTGCCCTAAAAGTGCCTCTAAAACGCCGAAAGTGGGGTATCTTTGTCCTATTATATCTACTTAAGCCCACTAGTAAGGATACAATCAATTAAAATATTACTATGATTTGAAGACCTATGTTAAAATTTTACGATATTTTCTATACATCTCGAATGAAGAATTGTTTACCATACGAACGAAAGTTCCAAGATCTAAATAATTATAAGTTTATTATTTTTACTTTCACAATATTTGTAGTTTGTGAATGGATAATTTAATCTATTGACCTATGTGTGTGCTCATGATTACGAAATTATGCTAAGCTACACCAATTGTCCAATGCCCGTCAAATAGGTATGTAAAATGTATGTGCGTTAATACTACTTTTCCGATTAGTTTAACTTCCTCCTCCTAGCTATACTGTACTAAGTATTTTGAGTTGGGTTTTGGGTGGAAATATCAATTTTGGGTTTCACTGAACACAAAAAGTGGTTAAAAGTGATGTCTGTAAATTTGTTGGATATTGTCAAAATATTAAAACAATATATAAACGACTAGCTGCTGTAAACGTAGTTTCCATCGGAAAGGAAAAGAAAAAAATACGTGTTCTTTTAATTCGTTGTACAATTCTGCCTTTGGTCCAGTAACAAAATTCAATTGGACTTTTTAATTTTAAAAACATCTTTCTCTAAAGCTCGGCTAAATTATAAGGCTAACTAGTAGCCTACGAAATATATGAGGCACTGATGCATATATGAAAATACTTTACCAGTAGGACTACTATTTCGTTGTCAAATTATACGATTAATTAAACGTTTATATAGTTGTAAAACTTACCTATTAATTCAATTGGTAAAAAAAATCGCATGACATCGGGTTGAACCGTAGTGAAGCAAAACTGTATGGTATGTTTTTATCCTAACCATTCACTTTTGTCAGGAATCTTTACCTGCAGCTGATTATGTAAATATCACAGAGAGCAAAAATTAAAAAATGGAACACTGTTTTAGGTACCTACCTGAAACAAATCTCTAATATTGTTATTCAGAGCCCAAATTCCATTAATTTAAATAGGACATAATCAACATATAATACGTAAGCATTCTTATTTTCACTCGTTCCATAGTTCATTATACAGTATTTACATTCATTTACACGCTAACCATTACCGGTAAATAAAGAAACATAGTAACAAAGCATAGAACAAAGCATATTTCAACAATTTCCAGTTGTGGCATTTTTAATTTACAGTAGCTTACATTAAATCATTGTATTAATAGTCAAAGGTTTAATGTATAATGTTAAATTTACTTAGTAACTTTAGCTATTGCAGTTAACATATGATAAATATAGAATGTGTATGTGATAATTATTGATTTACTAAATCTATCTTGGCTATATACTTGCATGTTAACGTAGGTCTTGTCCGTGCCACCCATTATCAAGTCATTTAAAACTATTGCACGCAAAACCAATTATTTCCTCTGTTTTAACTATGGAATATAGCAAATAGCATAAGGTTGTTTTCTCTCATGGATGAGATGCAGTAGTACTAACAACCATTATTTGTACAATATGTTCTTTCTATTTGATACATTGACTATGCAGTACGGACAGCTGACAGTAGATGTTGAAGATAAGACATTTCTCTGTTTCAGTGTGTCTCGCAATGCCTCCTGCAATCGAAACAAACTGTACATCCTCGACGACGACTACAACAACAATCTCCCCCCGGGTGAGTCTAACAGTCCTTTAGGACAAATATTTTATTTAAAACCTTTACAATGTCTATGCATAGGGATGAAAAGCAACAGTACACTGAATGTTATTGTTTAAACATTCATCGCGATCGTGCATCCTAAAATGTTGAAACTAGGAATCAAGCGTCGATCATGTTTACGCCTGTTTCAACAAATCGTATGGATTTCAATTCTTAAGTTTCCTAACAAAGCCCTAATAGTACGGACATTTAAATAGTTGTTCTAACCTTCAAAAGCTTCGAGCTTGTTCAGAAAAATATTGCTTACTGAGACAGTTGAAAGTTTATGTTTTCATCAAAAATCTTTTTGGGCTGGACAACTTTGAATTGCTTGAGCTTTGACATCAACACCCCTTTGTAAACGACGCTTTTGCACACAAATATCTACTGGTCGTCATACGATTTGTAAAATACAGAGAAATAAGTTTAGGCCGTAAAAATCATTTTGACGTTTAAACATTTAAAATTAAATGTATTAGACATACAAGTTTCAGTCAACAGAAATTGAATTTGTTAATTTTAGTGAAGGAGAACTATGATGAATATTAGATTATTATCAATAAAGAAAAGTGTGGCAAGTAGAATTTGAGTATGTGGTTTTTTCATAAAATGACCTGCAAATTGTTGTGGAAGATGAATGAACCTGTTCAGCATCGGATGTCAAAGCCAAGACGCAGACAGAGGTCGAGCTCTCTTATTAACAGCTCTGATCTGTGCTGGCGGCAACGGCGGGGTTTCCTCTTACCTCAGTTTTGCCTTTTCCAGTATTTTTGCACTTAATTCTACAAAATCATGATGTCATTAAATCAAATGGTTTTCACTTATCAAAGGTTTCTATGAGTTGAGGACAAAAGTACGCACTTAATGAATTATTTGTTGTAAAACAACGTTTACTATATCTAGAAGTGATAAACAAGTTTTGAATGTTGCAGGCCTAAGTAAAAAAAAATATTGATGGATCCTGGGCTAGGTCCTGTTTTTATCCAAAGATTGATGAAGTAGGCCTTCTACAAATTAATATTATATTAACATTAACACTTGGGTGAAGCAACGTATTTATCGATAACGCTACAATGAGCTCCAGAACTGAAGCTAATATTTTAAATTGTACTCAGACTATCATGACTAAATGACAAATTGGTATATGTTGTCTTGAAACACTCCATTTTCACCCCTCTACTAAAAGTGTGTGTTTTTATCCATATTCCATTAGTAATTTGCATTGACTGAGAAGTAAACACTCATTCGTTTACTATTAGTTTAGTAAGGTTTAGTGTGACGACCAAAATGTCTGAATAATGAACCCATACGTAAAATAAGTAAGTACTGATCCACCTCAAAAAAGAAATCCGAGATATATTATTTAAAAAGAAAAATACAATTCGATGAAATACGCTAAAGTGTGTGTTTTAGGGAATATCGCATAATAGGGATTGAGCTATTGCCGTAGATTCTAAGACCTAGACCCAAGGCCAACACAGATTTACTTTTTCGTTTTGATGAGGGCGAGGTCACAAACACCATCTGATCAAATATACTCAGGATATTATGAAATATGTAAATTAGTCTTCATTTATTCATTTGTTTTGGGTTTGTTTTATCCTTATAACTGACAGTAGTAAATTTTAGTATGATTATTTTAAATGAAAATGACACATATCCAACCAACTGTCACTAAGGTTATTTTATGTGGAAGTATATTATAAATAATACTTTAAAAAATCAAGGATTCCTTGGAAATACTATACTAATTAATTATTCTTCGTGTTTATTGTGGTCTTTTTAGCCACTGTTATCTTCAACAGATTAACATCTTAAAAACGTAATGTACCAGAATTATGTGTTGTAAAATATGTAAAATATCAAATTACCAGGTTGAATGAATGTCCACATATAATTTATAAAATATTTTATCACGTCACGTTATAAAGACGCCGATTAATTAATCAAAAGTAGTTCAAAGTGATTAAAGAAATTTCCACGCGGGAATCCAGCGTGAAAGTTTTAAAGCAGTTCAGCGTGTCATTAAGGCTGAGTAATGGGTCTGGTGCTTTGTTATCGACTGACATTTTTCTAGTAACCGAAGTTTGACAAACTCTATTTAAGGTGGTTTCTACGAGTATAAAGTACAGAGTGTTACTCTTTGAAAACAAATTCATTGGTCTATGGAAATGAAATAGCCTTAGTGGAAATATTTTAAAACATTACAGTTGTTCTTAGTGTCCACGGTATTTTTCTTGTATTTACTATAGAACCCGTGCAGGTCCGCATATTATAAAACATAACATCGGGGAAAACGTTATGCTTAAACTCAAGTAATTCTTCTTACATCTTAGTGACGAGTTGTTTGAAAACTTGTTAGAAACTAATTTTAAATTTCTCTATTTGTGTCGTCAAGGTTCGCCTACATTATTTCTGCTCTCAGTTTTGACTGATAACTTCTATTGTATGGTTTAGCTCTGCTTCAATTCAAGTTAACATGTTGCAACAAAGTTTTTTAGCATTGAGAATTGAAGAAACTGTTGACTTACTGATAACCTGTGTTAATTGATTTAAGTTGACTCATTTTATTTCTTTGATTTGAGACATTCCCCTAAACAAACGAGTTTTCTCCGTAGAGAATTCTGAAAAGTGGGGTGACATCAACCATTTCATGTGCTTTATTTTTACCCAAAAACTCTGGATTACCAACTGGACAGTCATAATCTGCTTTGAATAGGCTAAAGCAGCAACACCATTGAAAGTTGGTTAACGTATTTTAACGTGTTGTCTGTCAGTCGCAGTATATGCCCCGCATCAGAACATTCTCACGTTGTTCAGTGGAGTTTCTCTTAATACCTATCCCAAAGTTTTGAAAATATCGATTCATTCGTCGAAATAGGTTGGATAACTCAATACATAAACACTAATTCCTTCACTTATGTTTGGTTTAATATGTCCAATAAAACTTTCCTTGGCAAAGGAGTTTTTCAAAACTTCTGATTTTTTACTTGAAATGTATGGATTGTGTTGATGAATTCAGTAAAAAAACTTTGTATAAGTTTGTCCGAGGAACTGGCAACATAACATAGAATGTACAATCCATTTGAGTTTTTTCTCAATTGAAGTAGAATGAGTAATACAAACGTTTACAATAAAAACATCAGGATCCGACATCAAGAACTGAATACAAAAAATTCTTAATTTCTACTTTCGAGTATACTTTTGAGTCAGGTTATATAATCAACTGATTGCAATGGTATTACCGTTTGACAGAGATTCACCTATATACATTGTAGGTGGACGCTACCGTGACTATTATCACATAGCCAGGGGCAGAGTTGGACAGTTGAAGCGGTTATACAACTGATAACAAGTCTTGACATTTCAGACAAATGCGTTGGTAGGTTGCGTCTAGCCTTGACAACAAAAACCTTCATTCGTTACGTGCATTTTTAAATGTTGTGGTTATTACAACACAAACATTTTTTTACTATGCTCCAGCCCGAGATTGTTTATTAGGCTGCTATACTACTAAACCAGCTCATTTACATTACGTCACATTCCAACAATACTCTTTGGCTAAAAGATTTAAAAGTACAGAGTCAAATTATATAATCACGTTTGAAGATCGATGTTATATTATAAATCTGACGTCAAACAAATCTTTCCGTTATAGGATCATTGAAAACATTTTATTTTAAAGTGTTACCATGCGTTTATTTGTCTGCCATTAATTTTTTTTTGAATTCACATCAAATGCTTTTTATTAGTGTATTTAATTAATGTATTTGTCATCACTAGGGCATAATGTGACTCTTTTTCCCACTGTTTTAGAACCACTATTTTTGTCCTTGTCCTTCAGAAATATTGTCAGTCAAAATTTGTTTCAATAAACGAACTCGCTACCCCAAAAATTCTATTTCGTGAAGTTTCCTTGCATTAGTGTAAGAGAGTTGTTCATCAAGTTTCTTTCAATTCATATTTTCAAGAACTTCGATTATATTTTTAACCATACATCACATTCTTATAGAACCCGATATGCAGAGAATATAGGAATAACTGCCTCATATTTATCAAGGTCTCATTCAATGACTAATATCTCGTATACGGTATATCAGAAGTTTTACATCGTAATATTATATCCCGCTGTTATTCTCATCAAATTTTTCCCTCCATCTATTATTATTTTCAAGAAATGCATCACTAGCTGTTTAGTAGAGTGGGGTGTGGAAGAATCAGAACACCTTATCCAACCAGAGTACAGGCGGACTTGACCCTACTTTGTTTTCCTCCTCAACTATTATTTAACTACCGAACTTAACTACCTGAAACTTAACTCAACTTAACTAATACTTAACTAATAACTACCAACCATTACTTAGTGATAATTAGGTCAATTCCCTCAAAATTGCCTAAATTCAGTCATTACACCTCAGCCATATAAAAATCACATTTTGTTTATAAGTATTTCACTTAACATTCCTATTTTTGTCTTTCCACTACAAAATAATCCACTGATAGCAACTGAGTCTCCATGTATGCTTATTTCCCTATGTTTTATTTTGAACATTGCTTTCCGTGAATTATATCTATACATTTTTACTTTTGTGCACTAGTAAGTAAGTTTCTTTGTATTTTTTGTTCACTGGAAGTGGATGTTCATGATTTCTATTGTTTACCCTTTGTTGGAAATAAACTTTATTTGATTTGATTTTATTTGATTTTTTAACTGAGGTTAAGTTTTACGATCGAGGAGAAGCCGAGGTCGCAAAGTGAGCTAGGGTTAAAGGACACTTTTTGCCCATGTGGGGAACTATATTTTTCGTCATATTGCATCATTAATTATTAACAAACTAAGCTAGAAAACGAAATAACCTCTCAAAACAACTTCCGGCTTGTTTTCAATTCTGCTAATGAAAATAAGCAGTTGTTTAGTAAGTGATTCAGTCATTTTTGTCTAACGATTTTGTTTACCCTTTGTTGGAAATAAACTT